TTTGAAAGAATTTTTAATTCTAAAAAAAATTTAAAATTCGATAGTTATTTAAAAATTTTGAGAGCAGTAAAATTTAGAGTTGATTTATTGGTTAATTATTTAATTAATCAAATGAGAATTTTTAAATAAAAAAAATGCAATAAAGAGGAGGAAGAAAAATAATTTTTCCACTAATCAGATGTGGGCTCCGAAAATTCCATTTTGGATGTGTGATCCCGGCCTCTCTACATCATCGGTCTATTTTTATTTTGAATGTTTGTGTGACGATGACGACAGAGAGTTTTAACGAGATTAGGTTCCGGGGGAATTTTCAGAAGGCAGATTGGGTTTTAGATAAGATACTACCCAGAGATAACATCAGATATATACAAGCTCTCAACACAGTCCTCTCAAACTCTCTAAAAACTCTCAAACTCTCCAACACCTTGTAAGCTCTCTAAAGTCCCTCTTGTACGAGCTCTTGCAACTATCTTTGGACCCTATCCTCTACAATTACTGGCTACGAACACCTGCAAAAAAACATATGAAGAGTCAGTACATCACAAATAAATTGAATGAATGCTAATAAATCTAAGCTACAACAGGTAGAACAGAGTACTAGAAAGCAAGAAAAGCTGAGTACGAAAAAGCTAGTAGTGTAACAGTGCTAGAAGACAGGTAGAGCAGTAGACTACTATAGTAGGAAAAAGACTACTAGCACAAAACAACTAAAGCACAAACTAAGTGTCAAACAACTAGTGTCAACTCAATAAACATACAATCAAATCCAAACTCAAATTCACAAATTTCTGGGTAGCCTTGTTTAGAAGAACTTGGTCGTAAGACCCACTACCCGGCAACTTTCGTAGGAAAGTCGTAAGCCCGATATTAAGGGGAAGTTTTAGGTTAAAATTGACCTAACTCCTAACCCCAAATTAAAACACTCGGCCACTTCTAATAGAAGTCTTAAGTTCGACCTATGAGGCAAATGTTTAGGTGATAATGTAACCCTAGACCCCTCACTTGGACATCTTAGTCTATAAGGGCTAAGTTGTAAGATCCATCCTTCGGGCCACTTAGCTTACAGGGCTAGGTTATAAGACCCGACATGGGCTACTTCTAGTTGAAGCCATAAGACCCACTCATAACCAAAATTCTTCGAGCAACTCCTAATTGGAGCCGTAAGCCCCAAGTTAAACAAATTAACAGGCAACTCCTAATTGAAGCCATAAGCCCCAAACTAAACAAATTAATGGGCTACTTCTAAGTGAAGTTGTAAAACCCACATCTTAAGAAAAATTGTTAAATAAATAACAATGATCTTAAATCCCAATCAATCAAAGTTAAAGCCTTTGGTCATCTTAGTCCAAAAAAGGATTAAGTTGTAAGACCTGCTTTTCAGGCTACTTCCTAAGGGAAGCCATAAGCCATACCCAAATAATTTAAAACCTCCGGGCAGCCTCGCTGTAGAGCTAGGTTGTAAGACCCATCTTTGGGCAACTCATAAATAGAGCAGTAAGCCCCATTTCAAATCAAATCCCCGGGCCACCTCTAAAAGAGGCTGTAAGTCCCACTATCAGGGCAACTCCTAATTGGAGCCGTAAGCCCCAAGTTAAACAAATTAACGGGCAACTTCTAAGGAAGCCATAAGCCCCAACCCAAATTAAATCAAACTAAAATTCACATCTAACCACTTCAATCCACTCGAGATCCCTGAAAGGAGGCAACTCATGGCTGTTAATTAGATTCCCTGGACACTACAATCTATGGTTGTTAGTATTGGTAGACTGAATATACGGTATACCCGGGATGACGAAACTATGGGATCTTGATTGGGTTTACCTCCATTTTCCCCATAATTGAGACTAAACTACCTAAAATTTATTCATCCTTAATCGAGAGTTCTCTCTTGTTAAGATGGGTAAGAACCCCATATTTAATTAAACCCTGACACTACCGTCAGGAAAAATCTGGTTAACTTCAATCTGACTTAAGGGAAATGGAATCCTACAGCTGCAAAGCGGGATTCGTGCATTCGTGCCGTTTTTCTTGAGCCAACACTCAAATTTCGAAATACTGATTATTTCCAGTTTTATAAACTAGTCATTTTAATTAACATATTTTATTGAAACAATATAGCCGATTTAGAGAAGTTAACCATCAAGGGTAAAGTATGCAGATGGGCAATTTCTCATGACTGCAGTAAAATGATTGACTTAAGGCAGATAAAAAAAAGGAAAGAAACCTGCTTGCTCTTTTTACCTAAAACCAATTGATTTCACACAGGGGGAAAAGCTGCTGTTGTGGAATGGTTGTGAGGGCTGCAGCTAAGTGAATCAGAGGTGAGGGGTGGATGTGTAGATCAGCTAAGTGAAAGTTGCAGTAAGGGAGTGGAGCTTAATTGGGCAGTAGAGAGGAAGGGAGAGGTGGTTTGATTGGAGATGTGTTTGAGAGGAGTCTAGTTGGCAGTGGAGAGGCGCTGCTATTTGAGAGGAGTTTTGTTTGTGAGGTGAGGATGGGCTTGAGGCGTGAGATAAAGATTGGACTGGGTTGGTTGAAGGGCTAAGATCGACCACTCGGATGAGGGTCAGGAGTCTGTCGGAGGTTGTGAGGAAGAATCAGGTGATTCACGGCAACAGGTCCGGATCAGGCGCAGGTCAGCAATCGGAGGGAGCAGGGATCGAACGGGTCTAGGATTGGCTTCTAGTTTGGTTGCTGAGGTTGAATGACTGGTTTGATCGGTTGCTGGTGGATTTCAAATGGAGAGGAAGAGGATGCTAGGATGGAGGCGTGAGGTTGAATCAGCTTGGGGCTTGTTCGATCGGAGTGGATCCCCGGCTGTGTGGTGGGTCGGGATTGCGGGTTTGTGAATTGGGAGACCGGACAAGGAAGTCGGTTTGGATCAAGACTGTGTAGTGAGACGGACGGTTGAGGGCTATGGGAGGGATCATAGGTGTCTGTGCGGGGAAAAGAAAACAGAACCGAACGACTCTGTCTTCATTCCCGTTTAAAGCAATCATACGACTACGATTTTAATTGAACAAATTTATGATCATTTTTGGGTATTGACGGTGCTCCGAACGCAACAATGACGTCCGTTTTGCGATTGGACGTCCTTGGGGAAACATCGCGTATTAATTTCACGTGTCAGTCATCCTTTTGTTTGACAATTCGAAGGTCATTTGCCCCTTCAAGTGACGCATCGCGCTGACTTGCGGATCACTTAATTAGCTGATTTTGACTCTTTTCATGTGTTTTGATGTGTAGGTACCAGCAACTCTTAAAACTAAGAAAAATATGCATTCTTGAGGTTCTGCTCAATAGGCATGACAATAAATTTAGTTCTTGGAGATACAAACTTCATATCAACCAAAGTACATATCAGTCCTCTACTACTCATATCAATTCAGTATCAACTACAGATGTGCCTCAATTCCCCAATGATGGATTCAATTATTTACATCATAATTAGAGGAATTGCCAACATTTCGTATGCTACCAATCACAAACATTCCTTATCTCCATTATGAGTTTGGTTATTATAAAAACATAATTAGAGGGTTTACTGTTGTCGTGAGAGCTTTGTGCTATAAAAACAAATATGCCTTGACATTACTTCACCAAAATTATGAGCTTGATAATTGCATATCATAACCAGAGGGATTACTAATATCATCATATCCCCAACTACAATGAAAAATCTACTCAATTAACCTCCAAATCCCAATGAATTGTTTGAAGTTATAATCTAATGGGTTATCACTATCATTATATTTTTCACTTCAAAGATAATTCTACTCAATATATGAATATAACTCATTTATCTTGATGATGAGTACGATTATTGCAAATTATAATTGGAGGTATTGCCAATATCATAAAAGCTCTTGATTATAAAGATAGATCTGCTTAGGACTTTCCATCCTCAAGGACGGGTTTATCAGAAAATAGTAAAATACTAACAGAAGGTGATCCTCTTCATAAAAATGTCTTCATATATTTCCTAACAAGTATATTCTAGACCTGCTTACCAATGATTGTGGTCATAGTCATAGATCATCCTAACTAGAGGGGTCAACACTCAACACTATCATCATCCTTACTTGAGTCTAATAATAAGTATGAAACATCCTGGCTCGAAACTCTTCACATCAATCATGCCTTTCTCGATTGGAGGGAATTTTCATATTTAAATTCAAGCCAGTAAGAACATTTGGGCTTGGCCGTTTGACTGATTTTTATGGTTTTGGGTCACATTTTTGGCATGACTATGCTGTCCAAAATGAGCTTGTCATGTCCTTATTGGCATGAGATTTTTTACCATATGATGTCAAGTCTTTTTTTGGTTAATTTAGCAACAGCCCAAATTTCTGTTTCTTAATGGCTCTTTTGTTTTATAGAATTGAAACATAGTGTAGTTCTCACTGTTTTTTCTCTTGCTGGTTAATTTCAGCATTGGAGTTGACTTTCTTATGGTTACGGGATATTAAACATGTTCTAGCGGAAATCAAGTGATTTGATGATTTTTTTTTGTTCTATTGTGTTTATGAGGATATCAAGGATGCCAAACGGTATGTTTTGCCTCAGAGTTGAGCATCGTGCTTTCTTTTTCCATTTTATTCCAGTCGATTAGCTTTTCTTGTAAATATCTATTTCCTCAGACTCAGAGTGTACCAATGTTTATCTTGCTGGAGTATCAATACGGTTTTCTTTATATGCAAACATTGTATTATCAGCTTATGTTTCTGATGTCATTTTGGAATCTATGTTGGTGTCATGTTGCCTGGCTATGTTAGTTCTGTTTTGTTTGTATGCTTTAAAATATTATTTTTTCTAGTAAATGTATGTCTCCTCCTCCTCGGCCAAGCTTTATTTATCTCCAATAATTTACATCTGATGAAGCAGTATCTCATGTTTTTCTTATGTTGGAAAGTTAAGATCAAACTGCTTAATTGATTTAGTACACTCAGTTCATAGGTTATTTGCATCTTTGGTAAATAAAATTTCATTGAAATGTGCAGTTGATTAGCATAAGAAACATATTCTTCCACTGGATTTATCAACAGCTTCTGCAAGCACAAGTTATTTATTCCATGATTGCTTGAGAAAAAGCCAACCCAACCCCCCTCGTGCGATTGAAGGTGATTTCTTGTGCTCATTTTTTGGCTCAGATATTTGGAAGTTTAGTGTAAATTTAGTGGAATGGGAAAGTTTGGGGGAATGGAGGAAAAGCTTGAGCAAATTCCCATGGTTCTATAAACTTGGGTGTATCCGTGAACCCATTCCATCAACATTAGCGGGTTTTAAGTTGTTGCGTCCACAGAGCCTTACTAGCAACCATGAGTTGCCTTCTTTTAGGTGCCCAAGCAGATCAGGATGAAAGTGCATGTAGAAGAGTGCTTTCAAAGTTGATGTCAATTTGTTTGTTTTCAGGTTGCAGGACATTATTAGTTTTGTGATTGTAGTTGGGGTGTTGCAAATTTTGATGATATAACGAATCATTCACACAACCCATCTGATCGTGAAAGCAATATTCCATGTATTAATCTCATTGTTGCAGATCTGATGGTTTCCAAATTTATGATTCAGCTTTGTAAAGATAATAGCGAGCTTCAAGTGATCTAGTATGTCACCAATGCATTGAAATAACGTCCTTAACTATTATTTCATGATAATGTGGTAACTGACAGATTATCGCCATGTGCCATTATTTTTTGGGACCATCATGATGGGTGATCCAGAAGGTGAATTAGTTGGTTGAATAGCTTCGTTTCCCAATAACTCTATAACTTTCTTTTTGACCTCTTCATTCTGGATGATTGATTATTATTATTATTATTATTATTTTACATCAAAATGAATGGTAGCAAAACGTTTGAGATCAACTGAATATCATAGGTTGCTATGGTGGAACCCTTACATCTTCTGAAAGAGTAATGCGTACCTCTTCAATAGTTGTTAAAATTGCACATCTTCAACCTTGCTCAATGTGGAAAGGGCAAGACTCATTTCTTAATTCACGACAGAATCATTTTTTTGGTTGTATTTATAATTTCACTTGCATGTATTACCTTCATGACATCCATTATCGGCACATCAAAGTCCTTCAGGTCAAAGGTATCCCAACTTGACCTGGCTGTAAATAGGTTGACCCTAAACCGACCCGGTTTTACAAACGGGTCAGGTTTGTCAACCCGGACCCGACCCGTGCGGGTTATCGTGTTGACACGAATCGACTTGCGAATATATGCGGGATGGACGGCGTGGACACGGAGCACGCGTGGACACGGAGCACGGCTGTGCGGGCTGGACGGCGTGGATGCGAGCCGAGCGATGCGGACGCGGACACGGGACGAGCGATGTGGACGTGAACGCGAGACGAGCACGGTTGTGGCCTGTGTGGGCTGGACGCGGGACGCCTGGAGCCTTGGAGGCTTGGACCGACGGGCGACGCAGAGCCTGTGACGCCTGGAGCCTTTGACGGCCTGTGACGCGGACGACACTCCACCTCACGCCTCACGTGGACGAGACACGTCCGATTTGACGCGGACGCGACCTGGCGGTTACTCGGGCAGCGCAGTGGGTTTGCGAAACGGGTCATTTTGGGTTGACCCGTCGGTTGTCGGGCCAACCCGAACCCGACCCACTTTTCAAACGGGTAGAAATCCAAACCCGGACCCGACCCGTTTCTCAAACGGGTTGACCCAAACCTGAATTTTTTGAGTTGGGTTCGGGTCAGGTTTCGGGTCGGGTCAAAAGTTGACACCCCTACTTCAGGTAGTACTTCTCATTCTTCATCATCTAGCATTAATGGGCATGGTATTACAACACTGCATACATGTAATGCAGGTACATACTACCAAAGATAACTAGACAAATGTCAAGTATAACTAGCTTGCACAACATGTCATCAATGTAGTTCTTGTTGATTTCAAACTTCAACTGATTTTGGTGATCAATCATTATCGCATACCTTGTGGGCTCCGAAAATTCATGCTCCGGTCTCTCCGTGCCTCTTTTGTTGACGGGAAGAGTTTTAATGAGTTTAGGTTCTAGGTAATTTTTCAAAAAGAAGATTGGGTTTTAGATAAGACACTACTCAGAGATTTTGACCTCATTTATAATGACTTTATGATCTAAGTTCTGATATCCTATAGGCGCAAACCCCTATAATTAATTAACCCTCTCGATAATGAGAGAGAACTTTCGATTAAGGCTTGTTTTAGATAGGCACTGAGTACCCAACATATGTAGCGACAACTTTATGGATTTTAGAATAGAATTTTTGGGGATTTTTAAGATTTGAAATTTATCACTGTTCACTTAAAGCAGGTGATGAAGAAATGATGACGGGCCCAATCAAGATCCCATTGTTTTGTCATTCCGAGTGTCATGGTCTTTGGTCTACTTAGTCATAGGAGGCAGTCGATCGAACTGACAGAAGAAACCTTGTCGGCAGCCATGGGTTGCTTCGTCCAAGAATACCTTGTAAACTTGGGGCGGATGTTTACCTATGCTTTAAGGTGGTGAATTTAAGTCAATCTAAGCTAACAAAGGACTTTATTTCTTATAACATGCTCCCTATAATTCATTACTCAAGGGACTTTTAGCCATTGGGGATCATACGAGCTTTGACATGATTGTAATATAGTAGTGCCATTTTGCAGGAAAATCACTCAATCAAAGGCCACGTGTCATGTCCCTGCAAGCGATGAATCAACTGAGAATGGATTGTAGTAATACATTCCATAAGACATCTGTTCTTTGTGAGCTGAAGTTATTCATCAATTCATCATACTCGTCAAACCATTGTAAAGTGTAGATGGATTTTAATTTTAAGTTTTTGGTAATTAAATTTTCATTTGAATGTTTAGAATTTTGTAGGTATTAGATTTTGAAATTTTAATAGGCTTTGAGAATTGATCTCTCCAGTTAAGATTCAATTTCAACATGACCATTATAAGGGGATATATTAAAATTATTCAAATATTCTTTTTTTTTTTATTAGAATTTTGGAGGCATTAAAAAAAAGCATGATCCCCTCTGATTTATATTAGCTTTCAACACGGCTATCATCGGGGTGTTTAAGCATTTTTAATAAATTCGCGAAGCATTCTCAGATCTCACATTTAGTAGCTTGATATAAAAATCAGTGCACATGTATATCGTATTAGCATATAGATAGGAGCTATTGTAGAGGTGCTTGAACACTTTTAGCGAATCCGCGAAGCATTCTCAGTTCTTGTATTTAGGAGCTTGACATGAAGATTGGAGCACACGTGGAACAAATTTTATGAAAAACATAATGCTGCAAGACATCAAACAATAATTACGTGCCAAATGCTCTGTTGTATATGTTTCCTGAACTTGAAATGTGAAATCTATATTCCACCCTGCCAACATAAGGGTTATTCAGCCCAAAAAACTATCAGTCAAGCTTATAGAATTGGGTACTCAAGATAGGTGAGGATCTACAGTGACAGCTGCACCAAAGGAGATAAACTGCTATGGTTTTGTTGGAAGAAATAGGACAATCCATATGAATCATCAAGAGCCAAGAAATTTTTTTATTGGGTTTATTCTCGTATTTTGATGAGAAGCAGACCACTTCATAAGTAGCTGATGTATAAGGTCACCCTCATATCTGAATTGTTCAAGAAAAATAGATCCCAAACTATTGTTAATACTTGTTCCAAATGGCATATGGCCTTTACTAACAACCAAATGTTGTATGTAGATGATTCTTTGGAATTGTTTCTATGAAATTATGGTCGTAACAATCTTGATCAGAAAAACTAGTGGGAGGCACTCTGCTTGGTGTGCACTCCGAAAATTCACGGCCCGGCCTCTCCGTGCCTGCTCTTTCTTTTGTTGATTGGGAGAGTTTTAACGGATTTAAGTTCTGAGTAAATTTTTAGTAGGCAGATTAGGTTTTAGATAAGACACTACCTAGAGATTTTACCCTCATTTTTCGAGGACTTTATGTTCTGAGTTCTGATTTCATATAGGCGCAAGCCCCTATAATTAATTACTCTTCCCGATAATGAGAGAGTTCTTTTGATTAAGGCTAGTCGTGAAATAGCACAAGTATTTAGTGCATAGTAGCAACAACATTAGAGTTTGAATTTAGTTTTTGGATTCTAGAGTCTATGATTTTAAATTTATCACTATAAACTTAGAACAAGTGATGGGGGAAATGAATATGAGCCCGATCAATATCTCATGGTTCCGTCGTCCCGGACTGTCATGGTCCTTGGTCTACTTAGTTAGAGGAGATAGTTGACCCAACCTGACAGAAGGCATCTTATCGGCAGCCATGAGTTGCTTCGTCCAAGGATACCTTGTAGGCATGCGGTGGATGTTTGTCTAAGATGATGAATTTAAGTTCACCTTGGCTGACAAATGGATTTATATTTTGAAGAGTGCACTTTATAATTCATTGAAATCATTAGAGAACATACGGGCTTTAGGCATGATCGTAATGTAGACGTGTCATTTTGCAGCAAACTGTTAGACCGGTCCAGAGAGGACCGGTCCAGCTGGTCCAGAGAGAACCGGCTCTATTTGTTTACGGGAGAAGAAAACAGGCGGAACCAGCCAGGGAGCCGGCGGAAACAGCAGGGAAGGAATAGGTGGGGTCCACTTGTTTTTCAAATTGAATCTTGGAGCCAAAAGGAGTGGAAGCAAGGGCAATTAAGTCCTTTTATGTTATTTTTGAATTGTATGCATTAAGTAGGGAGAAAAGGATAGATTAGGGTTATGTTGAATTTGCTTGAAGTTTTTCTTGTTCTTCTTTGGTGGCTAGGCTCTAGATCGAATTCTAGAGATTGGGAGAGTGCGATCCTCCTCTCGAATAGAGGATCCTTGTATCTTTGCTATTTTCCTTGCATCTACTAGTAAAATACAAGCTTTTTCTCCACTATTTCTCTCAGATTTGTTATTTTTTTCCACTGTTTTGTGCCAATTCCTGCTGTGGACAGCAGGTTCTCACTGTTTCTTGCGTCGAAAGTGGTTAGGAAATACTTGAAATCAAGTATTTCCTATCACTATCACAAACATCCAATTAGAGGGCACATGTCACACTCCTACTAGCGAGAGACTATTTGAGGATGAATCTTAGTTATACACCCGTCACGACATTCACTGTTTGTGAGCTAAGGTTAATTTCAAATTTATCACACCCACGACAAACCATTACGGAAGGTGGATGGGTTAGTTTTAAGTTTTAGTTGATAAATTTTCCATTTAAATTTTTAGAATTTGGATAAATTTTAGGTTTTGAAAATTTAATAGGATTTAAACATTGATGACTCTGGTTGAGATTTACATTCAATGCGGCCATCATCGAGGTGATCTAATTGTCATTTAAAAAATATCCATATTTTGTAGAAAAATTAGGAGGCATCTTATAATTCAAGTCAGGTTGACTCTAGTCCTTTCAAAGATAAGGATAAAACATAAATATTTGAACCGCGCAATATGCTCGGATCATTGGATTCAAGAATCAAATATGATAGTGGAGCATATGCGGGATATGTTCTCAACAATAGATTGGGACTATTATAGAAGTATCACCTTCTGTCCGCTTGTACAAATGTTGCGAATCCGGTCGCGTGGTTCTTTCAATGATTGTCCTTTTAGAGTAATTATATTTTATTCATTATCCTCCTTTGCATGTTTGTATTTTATAATTATGTGGT